AATTTGTTTTAAAAAAGACTTGACAAGCAATGCAAATGAAGTGATATGAAATGCGGTTTGACGATACCGTTTGCATAAACGGATTCAACAGGTTTTGCCTGTACGTGATCATTATCAGCCGAATATCAATCCACTGCTGAATGAGGGTCCCTTCATAGCCATCGAGTCCCTGCACGCGAGCCGATTTCATGTCTCCATCTCCACCACGGTGGACGTACTGTCGGGCGTGTTCTCTTTGGCTGCCACTCCATTATGAGTCTCGACCACCGACTATTATCCCTCATAGCCACGCCGTGTCCTGGCCCCAAGCACATGCACTTTTCTTTAGGCAAATAGATGTCTCTGATTTGTATTTGTTCCATGACCCACGTCTTTCTCTTCCTGTTTTCTCAGTGTAATCCAGGTCACGTATCTCTGGACACTTATCTAAGCACTCTTCAGTCATCTTTGTCCACGAATTCTATTTAGGTGAATTTCAGTTCCGTGTAAAACTTGCGTCGCTATAATTATCAAGAGTTTGTGGAAGTTTTTTGCAATAAAACATGTTTAACAATCCCGTAGATTGCGATAAGCAGAATGTATAAACAATAGGTATCATTTACATTTGTAACGCGGAGAGTATTTTTAAATCCTTTATATTAAGTTCGCGTGCTTGCTTGCTTGCTTAGGACCGTGCAAATCTTTCGGTCGTTTTTTAACCCACTTCCCGTGATCCAATCGACCTGACATTTTCCACAGACTCGTTGTGTGTGACAATTAATTTTCGTGAATTTTTTTTTCCAAAATTTTACACTGTTTAGGGAAAACTAATTAAATATTTAATTACCAATTGCTTAATACTGGCAGACAATCATCTGACCCATAGATTGCAGCCATCTCAAGCCAGAGGACGAGAGGACTCTAGCCGCCACGCATATAAAGGATTTAGAGTGAAAAACTTTGTTTTTACGGGTTTACTTGTTTCACTCTCGAACAGAGAACGATTCAGAGGCGCGAGGAGCCAGTGACAAGTTGCAAGGCAGTCACGTGGTGAGTCGGTGCCAACAGTTGCCCAAGATCTGCAGTCCTCTATTGGTGAAGTTATCGGCTAGTCTATATGTAAGAGGAAACCCGAATATCCGCAGATATACAACGCGTGCGAGAAGAAAATAGTCTAACCCACACAGATGGAACGGCTGGAGTCCACATTTTACACGCTTTTTAAATCCTTTATATTAAGTTCGCTTGCTTGCTTACGACCGTGCAAATCTTTCGGGCGTTTTATAACCCACTTCCCGTGATCCAATCGAGCTGACATTTTCCACACAGACTCGTTGTGCGTGACAATTAATGTTCGTGAAAATGTTTTTCCTAAATTTTACACTTTTTAGGACAAAAATATTATATTTAATTACCAATTGCTTAATGGTGCAATGCAATCATCTGACCCATAGGTGGCAGCCATCTCAAGCCAGAGGACGAGATGACTCTAGCCGCCACGCATATAAAGGATTTATAGTGAAAAACTTTGTTTTTACGGGTTATACTTGTATTTAACTCACTCTGTCTGTTGTTGTTGTTGTCGTATCCATAAACCCTCACCGCCTCCACAGTACTGGATTTCGTGCGAGCGGCAGCACCGACCTGCTGCCAACAAGGACACGGATGAGACGAGCACCACGTACGCCCGACCGCCTTTGCCTCCGCACACATTCTGCTTTTGATCCTAGATTTGAAGTTTTCGTGACTGCAAGGATTCATACTCTTTGTTTTTTTCGGTAAAGTCACGTCGGTAAAAAATACAGCTCCATACTATTAACATTTCTTCCCTTTATTAATGCTAGCCCTACTCCCTCCCTTTGATGCTGCTAATCCTGCATAATGCACGGGCATAATATGACTTTGAAACCCCCCGCCCACCTCCTACGCATTCCACAAGTAATGACTAATTCCATATCTGCATTTCCCATAAATATGCTAAATTCTTGATATGCAAATTCTTTTGTCAAGGCGCTCTTCCCCCTCCAACCCAGCTTAAATATACGCTCCAAGCCTGGTGGTGTTTCATTCAGACGCTGTCTTTCCCGACAGACCTGTTCTTCACCTGAGGACGGCTGCTTGCGTTGTGGCCGAAACGTCGTGAGAATTATTTTATTATGTTTTAGTTTTATTATTTTATTATTTCCCTTCTACGTGACTTTACCGAAAGAACCAAGAAGAAAAAAACACACACTTAAGCGGTTGTGCTTTCGCTAAGTTGTCTCCAGCTGAAGAAGAACGCTTGTGTTGCGCCCGAAACGTCGTGAATTAATTTATTTTAATTTTTTACCCACATGACTGTTTTTGATTCTTAGGCATTCTGAACAAAGTGCGCGTGTTGAGAACACACTTGTGATATGAAATCAGGTCTAGTCGATGCGGACAGTGAGTGTGACTGCTCTGAGTTCGAGTCATTGATTCACGTGGACATTAAATCGTTGTTGCCGTCACGTTTTTGCACTATAGCACCACCTGCTGTTCTTCTTATATCGTCGCATACATCATCATCATCACTACCCTGAAATCATTGTGTTTCAGCCATACGCAAACAGCGCACGGGGACCGTAGCTCAGTGTGTATTGTTTGATCACCACCATGATTATAATCTTAATCTTTAGTATATTCATGATCAGAATCATCACGCACCATCATCATGAACACCCGCGCCATCACCACTGCCATCACCACCATCATCCTACAACCAGCATCACGACCATGAAATACTCTTACTAACATAATCATCGCTAATGCTGCAACCACCATCACCACCAATCACTTCCACCACAACAACGCCATTCGCCACGAAGTGGCGGTGACGTCACCACGACGCTTGTGCCAGGCTAGGTGCACTCTGAAGCATCGTGAAGTGTCGAAGGCTCGCTGGCAGGAGGTCACGGGACAGACCCGGGTGCCATGGGTCGGCTGACTGAGAAGACCGGTAGAGATGCACAACCTGTGCCCCCTGCTGTGCCAACTCGCTGTATTTTATCCGCCCGGCGCTCCGCTCGTTGTTGTGAGCGTCGCTCCTCTGCCCTCCGCTGTTTGTGGTGGGCGACTGTCTCCAACTGCCCAGTAGCAGCAGCAGCGACCTTGACGAGTCTCCTCCACAGAGGCCGATCTTGACACCGCTGGTACCGGTTGTCGGCAAATCCACTCAGCTCCACATCCTCCCGGACCACATCAGCTCCATCTCTTCTCCAGCCCGTGTCGTGCCCGTTCAGCCCGCTTCTATGCGGCCAAACAGAAGCTGCTTGGGCATGCGGTGGCCGGGCATGCGGTGGCCGGGCATGCGGTGGCCGGGCATGCGGTGGCTGGGCATGTGGGCTACGTGGTGACACAGCCAGCGGAGGAGCTCACTGATGAGAATGTGTCCAGATCTTTCAAAGATTTGTGAACTGCTAGGGCACGCGGGAGACCCGGGGATGGGGGGGGGGCACGCGGTGGGGGGGTGGGCACGCGGTGAGAGGGGGGGGGGGCACGCGGTTCAGAATGAATGGTTCAGAATGAGATGTATTTATGAATGAGATGTATTTCTAGTGGAGGAATCCGATTAGCTATCAAGCTCTTTTTCACAATCGTCCAGTCGGGGCGGGTAAGAACGTTACAACAATACAACAACAACACGATCGTAGTACAAGGTACACAAATCACCCAAACATACAAATACAACTGAAGCATCCCCATCCTCTTCTTGGTTCTTTCGGTAAAGTCACGTAGAAGGGAAGTAATAAAATAATAAAAATAAAACATAATACAATAATTCTCACGACGTTTCGGCCACAACACAAGCAGCCGTCCTCGGGTGAAGACCAGGTCTGTCGAGGCTTTACCGAAAGAACCAAGAAGATGAATCCCTGCAGTCATGAAAGCTTTAAATCGAAATCATCCCCATCCTACCAGGCAAAGCCCACGTGTTTCTACGCATGGTGCGAAAGAAATCGACGTAGAAACACACACACACGCGCAGCCTTGCACCCTTTCCGGCACAATCACTCTTTGTGGCACGCTCCACCAGGTGTCGGCAGGTAGGAGCGATTGGTTGCGATTGCTCTTGAGATGATGGTGCAACTTAAAATCGTCTGCAACTTCTTCGTCCGCATCCGAACGAGGAAGTGAAACACCACTCAGGACTGTCACCTTAAGTTGGCTCATACGCAGCACAACGGATCGGATCGCCCTGGTGTGGACCCGGCCTCGCGGACAGCCGATTCTGACATCCGTGTGACGTCCAGTGCCTGACCAGAACACATTCCTGCTGCGGAGGGAGCTGGTAGGAACGTTGGGTTGCTCGGTCAATGGCCTGCAGGGTCAACGGCGGCGTGGTGTATTCCGCAAATATGCCCGACTGTGAGGGCGGGCACAAGCCGGCGTGAGTAGGTTAAACGTTGAGTTTTATAAGGGCACCACGGGGTGACCAGCCCCTCCCCACCCAGCCCACCCAGCCCCACCCTCCCCACCCTCGCCACCCAGCCCCTCCCCACCCTCCCCTCCCCACCCCTCCCCACCCAGCCCCTCCCTCCCCACCCAGCCCCTCCCTCCCCACCCAGCCCCCCCCTGCACGCCAGACGGACACAATAATCCCCTATGGGCTGGTGTAACCAGGAGGTTCCTACCAGTATAACTGGAAGCATGCGACTTGTTAAGACGTGGGGGGGCACGCGGTGGGGGGGGGCACGCGGTGGGGGGGGGGTCACAAGGTGGCCCCGGGGGTGGGGGGGGGGTCACGCGGTGGGGGGGGGGGGCACGTGGGCTCCGGACCCCCCCCCCCCCCAACACCTTAGAGCCTCACCTGCTCGTGGGAGCTCCCACGTCTGTCAGCGACTAGCCCAACCCCGCCCCCACCGGATGTTTACACCGGAAGTGGGCGTGTCAAGGGGGCGTGGTTACACGGATGCCCCGCCCCCACCGGATGTTTACACCGGAAGTGGGCGTGTCAAGAGGGGGCGTGGCTACACGGATGCCCCGCCCCCTCCCTGGCCACGCCCCCTGACGACGGAAGCGGCGTGGGGGTTCGAACGGCGGCCCTCGGACTCGTGAGGCGGTCGCAGTCGCCGACAAATAAACAACAACAACAACGACGACAACAACAACAACGTGGGCAAGAAGAAGCAGCAGAAGCGGTAAACAACAAGTGAGCAACTCCCACAGGCGGAGCGGGGAGCGGCACCGCGAGGCGGTGAGGATGGACGCGAGCGACAGCGGCGGCGTGGACTGAACAGGAAGAGTTGAGGCGGGGGTCGCGGTGAGCGCCACATCATCATCAGCATCATCATCAACATCATCATCAGCACCAGCAGCCTCATCAGCATCATCAGCATCAGCCTTATTAGCACCAGCCTTATCATCAGCAGCATTTATCATCAGCAGCACCAGTATCATCAGCACCAGTATCATAATCAGCAGCCTCATTAGCATCAGCCTTATTAGCACCAGCCTCATCATCATCAGCATCATCAGCAGCAGTCATCATCAGCAGCATTCATCATCAGCAGCGGTATCAGCAGCAACATCACTAGCAGCTGCAACATCCTCAGCTACATCAGCAGCAGTGATATCAGCATCATCATCATCACCAGCATCATCATGGGCAGAAGCATTATCATCAGCATCTTTAGCAGCAGCAACAGCACCAACATAACCAACATAACCAGCATATTCAGTCTAAGCAACAGCAGCATCAGAAGCATCTTCAGTGTCAGTATAATTGCCATCAGCAGCATTTTTCGTCAGCATTCTATTCAGTAGCGTCAAAAGTTACAACTTTATTCGCATTATTATAAGCATCATCATCATCCACACGATCAAATGTGCCATCAGCACCATCACTGTCATCATGAGCAGCATCACCATTAGCACCTTTTTTAGCAGCAGCAACGTTGTCATCATTAGTAGCATCATCATCGGCAGCGTGACCATCAGCATGATCATCAGCATAAGTAGTTACATCTTTATAAGCACTATCATCAGCAGCAGCATCATCAGCGTGAGCATCATAATTATCAGCAGCATCATCATCAGTAACATAAAACATCTGCAGCATCATCAGCAGCCTGTGTGTCTACTTGTGTGTGCAGGCTTCTGCAGGAGTATGCAGGGAAGATTGGAGGTTCTGGCCCTGGCCAGCATCAAGCGAAGGAAGCCATGGCCTCAGATCAGATGGATGGGCCTGGTAGGATGTTGCTGCTGACACAAGACTTACTGTACTTTTTAAATCCTTTATATTAAGTTCGCTTGCTTGCGTGCTTGCTTGCTTGCGTGCTTGCTTGCTTACGACCGTGCAAATCTTTCGGTCGTTTTTTAACCCACTTCCCGTGAGCCAATCGAGCTGACATTTTCCACACAAACTCGTTGTGCCAGACAATTAATGTTCGTGAAAAAAAATTCCCCAAATTTTACACTTTTTAGGCAAAAAAAAAATATTTTACATATATTCAAATAGAACTCATTCATGACTTTGGCTGAACGTCACAGTGTAAGAGCCCAGAGCGTAACCCCTCCACAGGCCGTGGCGGAGTAGCGCAGTTGGTAGCGCCCTCGCTTCCCATGCCAAAGGTCGCGGGATCGATCCCCGCGTCCTCCACAGGCGAATATATTTTTAAATCCTTTATATTAAGTTCGCTGCCACGCATATAAAGGATTTATAGTGAAAAACTTTGTTTTTACGGGTTATACTTATTCCCCACCATACAACCAGTTTGGCACGGTTCTAGAGGCACCCGGTTTTTTCAACTGCACAAGCCGAGCCGTGCCGCTGACGTCACATGCGCCGGACGCGTCATTGTCCCAGGCCCTGGCCCTGTTTCGTCCCGAGCCAGGTTCAGTGTGTCTGTCGCGGTGTGGTTCCGGCATTGCTCAGCGAATAGCCGGTGGTTAAACCACCCGTGCCGTGGATGTGTCGAGCTGCGTGGATTTGGTTTTGGTGCTTAACTCTCTACCTTTGGCATGGGAGTTGAGGCCACGTGGCTTATGGGTGAGATTACTGAGCTGGTGCCGTGGGGAGCCTGAGTTCGAATCCAGGTTTCGGTCATCCGGCCTTGTGTAATCGTGGTGCTCAAGTGTAGTGAGCTGATGGTGACTGCACTAAAATGTCATCACGAAAAAGGTTGGGTAAAAATATCAGCGCTGGGAATTGAAAAGTATAAAGAAGATTTCTTTGTAATGATTCCGCAAATAATTACTTTTACATTACGCATAGCAATCATCGCCTCCCTCTTGCGAAAATTTGGCAGGACCCTCCTGAAAATCGTCATGAGATTCAGTGGGGATTTCCAGGGTAAACCAGCATGATAATAAAATAATGCAACGTTCTTCTTGGTTCTTTCGGTAAAGTCACTCCTCGACAGACCTGTTCTTCACCTGAGGACGGCTGCTTGCGTTGTGGCCGAAACGTCGTGAGAATTATTTTATTATGTTTTATTTTATTATTTTATTATTTCAATTCTACGTGACTTTACCGAAAGAACCAAGAAGATGAATCCCTGCAGTCACGAAAGCTTTAAATCGAAATTTAATACAACGTTATTTTGACGCCATGCAACAAACATCTCAGTGTCTCTGACGCAGCCATTATGAACCACCCATGAGCCACCCGACCACATCCAGGTTGCGCCTCGCTGTAAACCACGGCTAATCTCGCACCGTTCTTCTCCGTGCGCCACACCGGTGCCGCCGCCGCCGGTACCGGCACCGGCACCACCAGGACTCGGAGAACCTGCTGCTGCTGGACGAACGCCGCGCCTCGGTACTTTTCCTCCCGTCGGGACGAACGCGGCGCCGCGTTCCACGCCTCCACTCGCTGCTCCCGCGCGTCGTCGCCATGGCTCCGTCCAGAAACGGCAAGTCCTCAAGCGCCCACACTGCTGCCCCATTCCTTGGGTGCCCAATTTATATGGCACCTCTGATTTCATGGCTACTGGATTAAGCTAATGCCAGATCTTGGGGTACCAGATATCTATGGGTAGTGGATTTTTCTGGTGCCAGATTTCATTATCCATGAACCAAATTTCATGATTAATGGATTTCATGGCTACTGGATTAAGCTAATGCCAGATCTTGGGGTACCAGATATTATGAGTAGTAGATTTTTCTGGAGCCAGATTTCATTACTCATGAACCAAATTTCATGGGAAATGGATTTCATGGCTACTGGATTAAGCTAATACCAGATCTTGAGGTACCAGATATTATGGGTAGTAGATTTTTCTGGAGCCAGATTTCATTACTCATGAACCAAATTTCATGGGTAATGGATTTCATGGCTACTGGATTAAGCTAATGCCAGATCTTGGGGTACCAGATATCTATGGGTAGTAGATTTTTCTGGAGCCAGATTTCATTACTCATGAACCAAATTGCATGGGAAATGGATTTCATGGCTACTGGATTAAGCTAATACCAGATCTTGAGGTACCAGATATTATGGGTAGTAGATTTTTCTGGAGCCAAATTTCATTACTCATGAACCAAATTTCATGGGTAATGGATTTCATGGCTACTGGATTAAGCTAATGCCAGATCTTGGGGTACCAGATATCTATGGGTAGTAGATTTTTCTGGAGCCAGATTTCATTACTCATGAACCAAATTTCATGGGTAATGGATTTCATGGCTACTGGATTAAGCTAATGCCAGATCTTGAGGTACCAGATATCTATGGGTAGTGGATTTTTCTGGTGCCAGATTTCATTACTCATGAACCAAATTTCATGGGTAATGGATTTCATGGCTACTGGATTAAACTAATACCAGATCTTTGGGTACAAGATATCTATGGGTAGTAGATTTTTCTGGTGCCAGATTTCATTACTCATGAACCAAATTTCATGGTTAATGGATTTCATGGCTACTGGATTAAGCTAATGGCAGATCTTGGGGTACCAGATATTATGGGTAGTAGATTTTTCTGGAGCCAGATTTCATTACTCATGAACGAAATTTCATGGGCAATGGATTTTATGGCTACTGGATTAAGCTAATACCAGATCTTGGGGTACCAGATATCTATGGGTAGTGGATTTTTCTGGTGCCAGATTTCATTACTCATGACCCAAATTTCGTGGGTAATGGATTTCATGGCTACTGGATTAAGCTAATGCCAGATCTTGAGGTACCAGATATCTATGGGTAGTGGATTTTTCTGGTGCCAGATTTCATTACTCATGAACCAAATTTCGTGGGTAATGGATTTCATGGCTACCGGATTTTGCTGGTACCGGTTTTTGTGGGTACCAGATTCCTGCTGGCACTGGCTGATGCTGTGGTTTGTGTTGTCTGTCCTTGTGTGCGGATGCAGGCGCGTGGCTCGCTGGCGTGCTGGTGAGCGGGGAGTTGTTCCTGTGGCACAAGGACACGGACTCTCTGAAGACGGCACCCGCCCACCCGGCCGTGCTCGCGCTCACGAGCAGAGCGGGCGAACAAGGTGACGCGCCTGGCACACCACTCGCCAAGAAGTGGAACGCGGTTGTCTCTGCCCTGAGTTCTGTTTGGCTGTCTTTGCTGCCATATGGTGTTTTTTTGCTGTTATTTCTATATGCTTCAAGGCTGTACTTGTGTGTACGTTATTGCTCTTGTTATTTTGGTGACCCGCGTCACTCATGCAAACGGGACTCATCCTGGCCTCCCGAGTTGTCGCCACCTGGATAAACTAAATACTTTTCGTTTTAAAGCTTTCGTGACTGCAGGGATTCATCTTCTTGGTTCTTTCGGTAAAGTCACGTAGAAGGGAAATAATCATAGAATATTAATATGAAACAATAAAAAAAAAATTCTCACGACGTTTCGGCCACAATGCAAGCAGCCGTCCTCAGGTGAAGAACAGGTCTGTCGGAAAGACAGCGTCTGAATGACGCTGTCTTTTCTGAATGACGCTGTCTTTCCGACAGCCCTGTTCTTCACCTGAGGATGGCTGCTTGCATTGTGGCCGAAACGTCGTGAGAATTGTATTTTATTATGTTTTATTTTTATTATTTCCCTTCTACGTGACTTTACCGAAAGAACCAAGAAGATGGAACTAAATACACTTGAAACTTGAAGGGACAGGATGGCTGGGTTGGTGTTAGCGGTTGTACAGGGCCAACAAACGCAGCCAGGGCAGTAGCGATAAATGCTCATCTGAATTCTCGCACAACCCACTTATTGTACTGGCATTTCCCAGCCACCTCACCGAATATATTAAGTGTTGTGGGCTTGAGTTGTGAGGTGGCCAGGGGATGATAGTAAAATGGATTCTTGAACCTGTGCAAATGTTTGCCTGGGGGTCCTACAACTCCAGACGATAAGGAATCATCACACGCCTCATAGTTACACGTGACTTGATGTCACCCATCTGCTCTGCTGAGCATTAGGATTTGTAGAGCCTTACGATTAACTCATTACAAAATCGCCGACAAGGAGGCCGCTGAACCGATTGGAGAGTTGCATCCGATTAGAAGGCGAGGAAATCTCACACAACGAGGATAAGGAATTGCAATTAAAACAACACCGCTCGCTAAATACGAACAGACCACGAGCGTTCGAACTGCCCTTTGCTCCCAGGATCGAACGCCCGTCTGTGGGTGCTCCCCTCGGACGAGGGCCGGCGCGTGCTGCTGGGGGGGGCCCCGGACGGGCCCCTCCTGTGGGAGCTGCGCGGGGTGGAGGGCCCCCTGCACGCCGTGCCAGGCTCACTCCTGCTTGGCCGCTGGGCTCAGCTGCCTCCGCCTAGCGACGTGCCGCTGCCCGGCGCCGCCGACAAAGAGGCCGCGGCGCACGCGGTGTTCTTCACAGATCCGGTGAGCGCCGGCGCTGGAGCTAGAGAGCGTTGGGAGGCCTTAATCCAGCAGCAGGTTATTGTGCTATTGGCCTCATGAGTAGGAAACATCTGGAATGCTCGCAGAGCAGTCCAACTCTTCGTGTTGGAGAAGAGTCCACGAAAGTGAAATAAAAATTAACCTGTAAAAACAAAGTTTTTCACTATAAATCCTTTATATGCGTGGCGGCTAGAGTCCTCTCGTCCTCTGGCTTGAGATGGCTGCCACCTATGGGTCAGATGATTGCCTGCCACCATTAAGCAATTGGTAATTAAATATAAAAAAATTCCTAAAAGTGTAAAGTTATGGAAAAAAATTTTCATGAAAATATCAGCTCGATTGGATCACGGGAAGTGGGTTAAAAAACGACCGAAAGATTTGCACGGTCGTAAGCGCGCAAGCAAGCAAGCAAGTGAACTTAATATAAAGGATTTAATCACAGAACTGCCTTTGAGATCCCTGGACGTAGCTTATTTGGAGCGCTGAGTTGAACAATTAAAATTCTGCACCTGTGGAAAAAGACAGAGCACAATGCCCAGCGCAGCTGCTAACGATTAGGCTGACCGCAGCATTAGTTCCTGCACGCATGTGCGTGCGATTGAGGGCTCGGAGAATGGGCTGCTGCCACTCGTGCTCACGAGCACAGCTCCGCTTCTTGCACAGCGGAGCAGAGGTCAGGTGCTGGCCACAGTAATTGGTCTTATTAGCTTGTTTGCCAGTTAATTAGTCGGTTAATTACATGGGGCATGCCTGACCTCAGCCTTCTGTCAGAGTTCTTTATATCAACATCACTTGCTACTTTTCTGTTCCGACTTAGTGTTTTTTAGGAAAACGAGTCACAAATGTAGCTTTGAGTGTGTGAATGTGTACCGCCTCAATCCACGGTGTCGCCCCTCCGGTCCCCGTCGCGTGCAGGAGCTGGGCGATTGCTGCCTCTGCTCGTTTGTGTTCAGCGCTGGCCAGAGTCTCATCATATCGAGCCTCCTCCTCCGCTGGCTCGACGGCTCGGACGCGCTCTTCAGGTGAGACGCGAGCCTCCTCCCTCGCTCTGCCGCCAACCTCGCAGTCCACTGCGGGGCTCCCGCGCTACCGCTAAGCACGCGCTTGCGTGGGTGAGTGAAGGGTGAGTGGTGTGTGTGGGTGAGTGAAGGGTGAGTGGTGTGTGTGGGTGAGTGAAGGGTGAGTGGGGTGTGTGGGTGAGCGAAAGGTGAGTGGTGTGTGTGGGTGAGTGAGTGATGGGTGAGCGGTGTGTGTGGGTGAGTGATGGGTGAGCGGTGTGTGTGGGTGAGTGAAGGGTGAGCGGTGTGTGTGGGTGAGCGAAGGGTGAGCGGTGTGTGTGGGTGAGTTATGGGTGAGTGGTGTGTGTGGGTGAGTGATGGGTGAGTGGTGTGTGGGGTGAGTGATGGGTGAGTGGTGTGTGTGGGTGAGTGATGGGTGAGTGGTGTGTGTGGGTGAGTGAAGGGTGAGTGGTGTGTGTGGGTGAGTGATGGGTGAGTGGTGTGTGTGGGTGAGTGATGGGTGAGTGGTGTGTGTGGGTGAGTGATGGGTGAGTGGTGTGTGTGGGTGAGCAAAGGGTGAGCGGTGTGTGTGGGTGAGCAATGGGTGAGTGGTGTGTGTAGGTGAGTGAAGGGTGAGTGGTGTGTGTGGGTGAGCGAAGGGTGAGCGGTGTGTGTGGGTGAGCGAAGGGTGAGTGGTGTGTGTGGGTGAGCGAAGGGTGAGCGGTGTGTGTGGGTGAGCGAAGGGTGAGTGGTGTGTGTGGGTGAGTGATGGGTGAGTGGTGTGTGTGGGTGAGTGAAGGAATGTGCGGTGTGTGTGGGTGAGTGATGGGTGAGTGGTGTATGTGGGTGAGTAATGGGTGAGTGGTGTGTGTGGGTGAGTGAAGGGTGAGTGGTGTGTGTGGGTGAGCGAAGGGTGAGTGGTGTGTGTGGGTGAGCGAAGGGTGAGTGGTGTATATGGGTGAATGAAGGAATGTGCGTTGTGTGTGGGTGAGCGAAGGGTGAGCGGTGTATGTGGGTGAGCGAACGATGAGTTGCTTACTACAGAGCATGACCGCCGCTATTGCCGATGCCTTCCCCAGCGTGGCGCCGTTCAGTGCCACGTGGCACGGGTTTGCCTGTGCATTGGGCTCCCTCTCGCCGGCGTGCGAGGCGGTGAAGTCGCGCGGAGCGTACGTGGCGCGTCTCTCCAGCGACGGGCACGTGCTCGCCATCGCCGTCAACCAGAGGCACCCTCAGGTCAGCGCCGGGCTGCCAGTCACCGCTTCTTCATCATCCTCCACTTTGTCACCATCGTCATCGTCGGCAGTGATCTGTCCACTGCTGGATCTTGCACTCAGCTACAATATTTGTGTAGACGCACACGTGTGTGTAGTTCTGTGCTTGAAAGCATGTGTGTATGTGTATAAGCTGAACCATTCCTCGGCCTTCCCTAGGTCAACTCAGCCTCAAATGAGTACCTTGTACGGTGTGTAAACATCACCACCCGGCCAAACGTGGTGCTGGCCACCCACCCCCTGATGTGTCGTGCCGGCCTTCATAGATGCTCGCTAACAGCACTTGCCACAACAGCCTGTTAAGGCGCCCTTCTTCCACCTCCAACCCAGCTTATATATAAGCTCCTAGCTTGGCAGTGTCTCATTCTTCACCTGAAGACGGCTGCTTGCGTTGTAGCCGAAACGTCGTGAGAATTATTTTATTATGTTTTATTTTAATTATTTTATTACTTCCCTTCTACGTGACTTTACCGAAAAAACCAAGAAGATCGTATATCCTTCTTCTCGTATATCCTTCTTCTTGGTTCTTTCGGTAAAGTCACGTGACTTTACCGAAAGAACCAAGAAGATGAATCCCTGCAGTCACGAAAGCTTTAAATAGAAATCGTATTTCCTTGCCTATTTCCATTTTATACGAAAGTCACCCAATATCCGTTTCATGCTTATGTAACATTATTGTAATTGTATTATGATCAGTCAATACAAATCTATCTTGGCCAACTTGCGCTCAAGGGAATATTTTATTTAACATCGATCTATGTTTGTCCAATATTTTTTCCATTTGATCTAATTTCTATTTGCTTGATTTCCTGTACTTGCATAGTTTTTTTCTTCTTCCATTTTGATGACCCCAGGTCACTCATTCTTGCAAATGAGACTCTGTCCCGGCCACCCGTGGCCTCACCCGTTTAAACAAAATCAACTTGAATCGTAAAATCTCATACTCTTTGGTTCTTTCGGTAAAGTCACGTAGGTATAAAATAAAATAAATCACGACGTTTCGGGTGCAACACAAGCATCCATCATCAGGTGGGAAAGCATGGTCTGCTGCTGAGGCTGACTGTTTTTAAAAGGTTTGAAATGGATGTAGCTCAAGAGTGTGGATTCCTGCAGTCACGTAAGCTTCAAACCAAGACCGTAAAACGTCGTCCGTGCCACGCAGGCCACCCAGGTGCTGTTCACGTCTGCGACGGGCGGCGTCTCGGTGTCCTCCCACCTGCAGGGCTGCGGCTTCCGTGGCCCCACCCTGCTGCCCAAGTTCATCAGGTGCGGTGCTGCCCGCCCGCCCGCCCGCCCTGAGCCGCCGAGACGCCAGCTCGCGTCCCGCGTCCGCCGTTGACTTCACCGTGGAACGGGAATACGGCCGGGAGGGTCGACACGGAGGGTGGGCGGGCGGGGCGGGCGGGCGGGCGGACACTCGGAGCGTTGGATCGGGAGGGGTTGATCCGGCAGGGGTTGATCCGGCAGGGGTTGAGGGTTAATGCTGTGAGGGTTGACATCGGAGAGTGGGGCCGGGGCAGGGTCAAAGAGCGTGGGGTTGACATAGGAACGATTGGCACAGTGAAGGTGGGGGTCAACCGTATGAACTGACGCTGTGACGATCGACCGTGAGAGTCGGTGAAGATGGACTCACAGCAGGTTGACCGCGGGCGCCCGCTGGTCATGCTAGGTGGGCGACGCGAGCTGTTAACTCCTCACCGGATGTCGGATGTCGCATTGAGGGATTGCAACAATTTACAGGGATGGCATTAACAATTTGATATCCAGTTGGCCAGTTTCAGGAGGATGCAGGAGCGATTTTCGGAGATGTATGTACGTCAAACTTCTTTTGCACAGTGCTAATCAGAGGTGAGGGGGGAAGGACAACAACCCACTAAAGCAATTGTAAAGAAATGAGTTTTCTATCTGGATTTAAAATTGCATAGCTCCAGTGGCTTCCTAATATCGGAAGGAAGAGCTGTTTGCGGAGATTGAGAAATGGTGGGATAGGTGCTCGCCACGACGCCTCCCCGTGACGCCTCCCCGTGCCGCCCCTCGCCGCAGGTCGTACTGGGTGAGCGACGCGAGCTGGCTGAGCGGGGACGCGCTGCTCGCGTGCATGCTCAAGCGCGGCGCTCTGCTTCTCGTGTCTCGCCTCGGGGAGCCCCTCACGCTGTCCACGCACGGCTGCTCGGTGGAGTTCGGTCCGGCCCTCTTCATCCCTCTCCACCCCCTCGTCACGTACAGGTGAGGTCTAAGTCGTCATCGGCCGTGATGATCCAAACATCGCCATTTATCAAGGGGCCTGTGATGCAGCACTCCTTACCAATGCAGGGCTGCTCGATGGATAACTGAGGCCTACCACTGCAAAGGGGATATTTTGATTCTAGATTTGAAGCTTTCGTGACTGCAAGGATTCATATTCTTAGGTTTTTTTCGGTAAAGTCACGTAGGTAAAAATAAAAATTAATAAAAGTAAAATAAATTTTTTTTTTTTTTAAAAATCACGACGTTTCGGAGGCAACACAAGCTTCCACCTGAAGACGGAAGCTTGTGTTGCCTCCGAAACGTCGTGATTTTTTATTTTTATTTTTATTTATTAATTTACATTTTTTACCTACGTGACTTTACCGAAACAACCTAAGGGATATTTTGAACCTGGGAAAGCTGTGTTTCTGGCTTTATTCCACGAAATCACTTCTGTCACTCTATGTAGGCTATGGATTTCACTGTCAGCCTCTGGGTTTCTCTGAAGTCGATGGTTCCCTTTATATCAAACTGAGACCAACCTCTCGCACACACTCGAGAACCCAATGATGGGCACCGGAACCCTGGATATGAACCCAGGATCTCAGTAGATCTCAGTGGTGCCGGCTCAGCAATCTCTGACACCTGGACCACTCCACCTCTCTCGTCCCTCCGCTCCCCGCACGTTGACAGCGCCAGTGGCAGCGCCGACGCGACGGCGTCGCACGGCTCGGCCGCCTCCGAGGCGGACGCCCTGCGCCAGCGGTTCTCCGTGAGCGCGCACCCCCGGCTGCCCTTCCTGCTCGCCTCCGATGGTACGGGCGCCGTCTCTCTCTACCTCTCCGCACGCACTCTCCCGCCTCGCCCCACTCATCTCGGGGTACGTGGTGACGGCCATGCGTTTGGGGCGCTGATGCGGTTAGCTGTGTGGTGTGCCCCAGGGTACGTGGTGACGGGATGCGTTTGTGCGCTGATGCGGTGAGCCGCGTGGTGTGTCGCAGGGTACGTGGTGACGACGATCTGTTTTGGGCGCTGAGCGGTGAGCCGTGTGGTGTGTCGCAGGGTACGTGGTGACGGGATGCGTTTGTGCGCTGAGCGGTGAGCTGTGTGGTGTGTCGCAGGGTACGTGGTGACGGGATGCGTTTGTGCGCTGAGCGGTGAGCGCGTGGTGTGTCGCAGGGTACGTGGTGACGGGATGCGTTGGGCGCTGAGCGGTGACTGCGTGGTGTGTCGTAGGGTAAGCTGGGACGGTGATGCGTTTGGGCGGTGAGCGGCGCCGGCGAGGCTGGTGCAGGCTGCGCTGGAGGACGTCACCGCACCCTTAGAGGACGTCCGCATCGGCTTGGCGGACATCGCGGGGTGCGGCACCCTCAAGCGGCACACTGCAGTGACATTCACCAGGCTTCGCCGCGATATAGACGCACTCACCAGATCGACGCACCCACTCTTGAGCAGGCTTTCACCCGGCAGCGGAATGGAGCGTGGCTAACGGTGCCGACGATGCCTCCGACAGCTTCCTGGCGAGGGCGGTGCTGCTACGGAGCCTGTCGGTGCTGGGCGCGCCGCCCCCCGGTGAGACGGTGACGGTGGACGCCACGGCGGCGCCACCGCCGCTTACCGCCGCCCCCCCTTTCTGCAGCAAGACCCGACGAGGTGGTCCTGTGGGGGCCACCGAGCTCTGCAGGGAGCGGCCCCCCACCCCCTCCACGCCACCAACTACGACCCGCTTCGCTAGCTCAGCGCCCTCTCCGTTTTGAATCGATCGTGCCTCTAATAATAATGATTATGATAATTGGTATTGTGTTAAGTACAAAGCCAAGCGATTTCCTGCTGCTCAAACGGGCACTGAGGCATTGGTGCTCATCTCCCGGATACAGCCCTGAGCCAGCAGTGGAAATTACACATTCATTATGGCGGGGACAAGCATATCCATAGGACAACCACTGTTGATTTCCCCACAAAGTGGTACCGATATGGTCGATCCTGGAGGGATGATGGGCTTCGAGGGCGTTTCTAGGGGGTTTCCCACCTTCAGGAGGCAGGATGCAGGGGCAACCGCTGTTTCTCAAGGGGCTCGATTATTTAGTGGATCACAAAGGAAGTAGCCGATGACGATCCACAAGTTTTCGCCGCCCCTCGATAAACGTCTCCCCGGCTCTCCTATTAACACTGTCCGCCCGGTCGCTAGGGCGACGACCTCTACGACGACCTTTTCGGACGAAGAGGAAGGGGGGGCGGGGGATGCGGGTGGAGGGGGGGGCCCCGACCCCCACCCGTACGTGCGCATGGAGCACGGCCCGCGTGGAGTTTGCGGGGATGCACGAGGAATCCCGGACCGCCGAGGGGGAGACGGAGCTGACGGCGCCGGGCGGCGCCATCGCGGCGGCGCGGATCTCTCGGCCCGGCTCTCGTTCGCTCAGCGCCGGCTGCTCGTCGCGTGGCACCTGCTGCTCACTCTCAGGTGAGGGGGGGCGCTTTCTCCGGGCAGTTTGCGATTAGCAGACACGTTGGTGACACTCTCACTTGATCGATGAAGTGTGGACGTGTGGGTGTGTACGGTAGCGCCGCGGTTAGCTACTGCGCTTCAATTGGTCAGGCCGCACTCACGGCGTGGCGATTAAGTCAGCTCCTGTCTGATATACAGATCCCTGTAAATAATCAAAATTATATCTATCTTTTTTATTAAACATACACGTCAACAAAATCTCCCGCATGTCTTTGTCTCTGCACGCGCTGTCCAGGGATGTCGACTTCTGGGACACCTGGAGACCTTCACCGTAAAGTGCGTGGCCCGCCTGTCGGTGCTGCTGCAGTTCTCCGATCGGCCCGCGGCAGCGCCGGCCCCGCCGGCAAAGCCGCGTCACGCTCCGTGCGCCGCGACCCCTGGCCCTTCGCGGTGCTGCAGCTCTTCCGGCGCTGCGCTGGTGCTCTGCTGGCCCGGCGAGCCCCTCCCCCTACCCCTCCACTGCGGTCACCGCCGGCGCGGCACCGCCGGTCCCTTCGTACGGCGCTCGGCTGAGCCTGGAGGTGGCGGCGGCGCTGCTGAGCGGCGCGGACACCGGCGACACTCGCGCGCACCTGCGCTCGCTGCTCGCCGCTCTTTCCTTGCTGTCCTTCGCTGAGGCGTGGCTCGACCGGCGTGCGGGCTGGTGCCGGCACCGCGCCAGATCCGCCGGTCCAACCGCCGCTCCCGAACCGTGCCTTGGTCGCGGTAGAGCCTCCCGGCTGGACGACGATGAGGCGCCGGCAGAGGTGGCGATGGAAGAAGCGATGGCAGATTCCGTACGAGAGGGGCTTGGCACTGGTGTGGAGCTCTACGCCTTGTGCATGCACCGGCAGCGGCAGACGGCGGGTGGCGCCGACTCTATCGGGCGGGTCGCGTGGCGGGGCCGGAGTGGCTCAGGTCCGTCCTGCCCTCCCGCACGCAGCGCCGGCAGAGAGAGTAGCGGCCGGCACACAGGTGCGTAGCGGGAAGATCCGGTTAGCAATGGCCGAGCGAGTGGCGGCTGTATTTCGCGTGTCTCTATCTGTGTGTCTCCGTGCTCGGGCTGCGTGTCTCGTGTCTCCGTGGCTGCGTCTCTCCGTCTGGTGTCTCGTGTCTCTGGTCGTGTGTCTCTGTGTCTGCGTCTCTCTATTGTGTGGTCTCTGTGTCTGCGTGTCTCTGTGTCTGCGTGTCTCTGTGTCTCTGTGTCTGCGTGTCTCTGTGTCTGCGTGTCTCTATTTGTGTGTCTCTGTGACTGGTGTCTCTGTGTCTGCGTGTTCCGTGGCTGCATGTCTCTATGTCTGCGGTCTCTATTTGTGTGTCTCCGTGGCTGCGTGTCTCTGTGTCTGTGTGTCTTCTAGTGCTTCTGAAGTTGTTTCAATCGAGTCTTTGACCAATAAGGAAAAATAGAAATAATATTCACGGGAAAAAACAACTCTAGACAGGGGCGGTTGCTGGACGCAGTGGCTGAGCCACTGCCCTATGAATCCCGTGCCTTGAATTCCAGCCCTGGCCACGGCTAATATCAGTGGCGGAGAGTGATGTTCGGATCAGTCCTCCCACCTTTTACCTTCCACACTTCCTTTACCCACCCAGTTCTTGCATGGTTAAACAATTTGCACTGAACACGTTGGCTTTTCTGCGGCCATCATATGATTCGTAATAGATTCCTTGGTTAGGCCAATATGTGATCTTGACAGATTTTGTCGTTCAATCATCCACCACTGACAGCCAAACGAATTAAATTGTCACATTACCAGCATCGGACACGGCAATTATTCTTAATAATTATTCATGCTTATCATTTCAGCTCACCAGTAAGTTGAAGAATATATCTCACGACCGCATGAATTTCCCGATTTTAATTCTGACTTCCCAGGGCTGCCTGTAAGAAAACCACCGATACAGGGCAGGCTCAGGGTGTAAATGTTTGTATTAAAATATTTGACGCGGAAAATCCTTCAGAGAGGTATTAACATCTCGTTTGCAAGTGCGACAGGAGCCGGTTTAAAATTCTCGGGTACCCTCTGCAATGACGTGTTCCTGACAGTACTTTCCCGCCGGATTCATCGCGGGTGTCCGCGCCTCTCGCTCTCTGTGCGCGTCCAGGCTCGTCGCCTGCTGGAGGCTGCTGTACAGACACGTTTGCAGTTCCAGCAGCAGCTGCAGCTGCAGCGCGGCGGCACGGTGCTGATGACTGTGACGACGGGGCCGCCCAGGAGCGGCTGGTGGCCTCGCGTATCGCTGCGGCGGTGCAGGCGCGCCTGCAGTGCGTGGACGGGAGCTTTCCACGGCAGAGACCGTTGCTTGATATCACCGGTGCGTTTACTGTGCCGGGCCGGCGATGACATCGAAAGCAGCGATGGCATCGTCGTTATCATGATCATCGGCACCACGATAGCACAGCTTGATCACAGCTTTCCACCATCTTGCTCATCGGTAGCAGCACCATCACCACTGCCATCATTGTCAGCAGTGGCATCGCTACCACCATGCCCGTTATAATAGGTATCAATATAATTCGCAGCAATTTCCACCACTAAACCCACCACCATCATCATCAGCAGCATGATCACTATTACTACCATTACTGTACCACCTCCACCAGCTTGATAGTTTTTAATCTCGATTGAAATTCATTTCTTGAGAACTGCTTTTTGTGTTTAGTTTGTTGTCCTTCCCTGCACCTCCGATAGCATGGTTGACTACTTGTGTGTTACCCAGCCGGGAGCGGTATTGTTGTGGCGAGTGCACTTCGCAATGAAACCCAGCATGTCTGTGTTAGCCGTGTCGGTGTGTGTGTGCGCCACCTGTGTGTGAGTTGCCTGTTAGCTCTTGGGGGCATCTGTGTGTTTGTCGCGCAGGAGAGGAACTTTACCTGAGCGGCTCATACCACGAGGCAGTGCACACTGGCGGAGGGCGGTGCTGGAAGACACGACTCAGGTACGGAACTGGAGCCGCGGCGTCTGGCCTGCGGCTTGGCGATCGTGAGCACCCTTGTGCGGGATCGGTGACGGCTGATGTGCACCAAACTGTCACCGCCACGGCGAGTCGCATCACGGCAGAGGTCGCAAAGGGTTTTGATTCCTTACCCGTACCCGTACCGGCCGCACCAGGGTCGCAAATGGGTACCCGTAACCATACCCTACCTGATACCGGCTACCCGTACCCAGCCGGGTATCGGGTAGGGTACGGGTATCGGGTACCCGATTGCGACCTCTGGGATGAAGCCTTGTTGCAGGCGGGGTGGGTTGATTCTAGGAACTTGAATTGTGAGAAGAGACAAGACGTTGGGAAATGAGTGACAAACGGTGATCACCAGTGACTCACGGCCTACCCGTACCGTACCGGCCGCACCAGGGTCGCAAACGGGTACCCGAAACCCGGGGGTAGGGTAGCCGGGTACCGATTGCGACTCTGCATCACGGCGAGTGGCATTGCGGTGTAAAACGGTGGCGATGGTTTGCGGCAGGGGGG